CAGCTGAAGCAGGTCTCTTGACTCACTGGCATCCTCCCAAAACACAGTCCCTCTTGAAGGAGAAGATTGGTTCAGGTTGTGGCTAACACGGAAAAATCCAGCCAAAAGCCACTCCTTGTCCCCCTCCCATCCAGAATTCCTCCTTCCAACATCCCATCCCAGGGTCCAAGGTGTCCCTCTTCCTCTCTTTCAAACCGAGGAGGGGAAAGGAAAATTCACAAAGCTTTCATTTCTCAAGGAAGGGTTAAAAGTCTGAACTCCCAGGATGGCTCGATGCCCGGACATCCAGCAACTCCCACGCACTGGGCACCTTGCAGCAGCTCCCCCCGCTCCTCCTTCCTCGCAGCTTTCTCTCTCCCTCTCGGGAGAGACACTCTGGGGGGGAATGGAGACATCCCAGATTTCTTCCACCCTTCCATCTGCAGGGGCCAGCCCGGTTCCAGTCCTTCCACCACCCTTGGGGTCTACCTTTCTCAGGCCATGGGGCTTCCCCTCCCCCACCCAGCCATGGCCGGGCAGGGGAGGTTTGCACTGCACGCTGACCGGAACCAAAGAGAGCGAGTTCCCCTGGGAATTCTGCTTTCAACCCTTCTGTGTTCTCAGAGGCGTGTCTACTTTCAATTGGTCAATATCTAAATTGACCTCTTCCTCCCGGAAAAAATTCTCTTTCCGTGTCAAACCATGACACAAGTACTGTGAAGAGCTAACTGGCTGAACAGAGGAAGATGCTGCAGCCAGCAGCATCTGGAAACCTGGAAAGCAAGCAGGCTATGCTTGCAAGCTTGTGAAATAACCAATAATGTTAGAGATGTCCCTTTGAATTATGGGATTAGAGGGGATTATTTTGCAGCTAATATAAGACTATGGTGTGAGAAATGTGTTTCTTCGCAAACCAGGATGTGAGTACAAGGGATTGTGAAACCACTTACGCAAGCACAAAGGGTTTACATTAACTCAGCTATCAGTCTCAGCAGTTTTCCCAGTCTCAGCAGTTTTCCCAGTCTCAGTAGTTTTTCCCAGGAAGTCATACAGAGATGCCTTAGAAGGACACAAGAGTGCTGCAGGTCAAAAGGACAAGAAGAGGAAGACTTCGGGCCTTCATCCCACGACCACCGGGAGGCAGAAGAAAGACCCCCTAGCAACACGACACACATGCGCAGAGAAGGACTTTAGGAACACGTACCCGGAAGAGAAACTGTATAAAAGATGGGAAACACAGACATTGGGCGCAGCAGTTGGTGGAGCGGAGACTCCCGTCGCTCAGCGCTGTGCTTTGCTTATTATCCGCTTGCTATAATTAATTAATAAATTACCAATTGGATAAAGACACAGTCAATTGTCGTGTCTCAATTTATAACATATGGCATGTTGGCACATTCCCAGGACCAGCAGGTGCACTGCTGCCTGTTGCTGGGGTGTTGTGCCCTCTCCCTCAGCGGAACAGCTGCTGCCAATGCCGAGGTAGCCTCAGTGCCTCTTGTGTGGGTTTGAGCTCCCAAAACTCTCCCAGCACGGGGCCCACCAGAGTGAGCAGTCAGTTTGACCAAGAGGAGTGGCTGAGGGAGCTGGGGGCGTTTAGCCTGGAGGAGGCTCAGGGAGGCCTCTTCATTCTCTACAACTACCTGAAAAGAGGTTGTAATAAAGTGGGGGTTGGACAACCCGTGACAGTGTTGTCCACAGTGGCCAATTATTAGCTTGCTGCACACCAGGTAACGAATCTGGGTTCTTGTGGACAACAGTGCAAGAGGAAGTGGCCTCAAGGCAGGGGAGGTTCAGGTTGGACATCATGAGAAATTCCCCCCAAGAACAACTGTTAAACATTGGAACAGGCTCCACAGGGAGATGGTAGAGTGACCATCACAGGAGGTGTTCAACTGCCATGGCCTAGGTGTCAAGGTGTAGATGGGTCAAACATTGGACTGGATGATCTCAGAGGTCTTTTCCAACCTGAATCCGTGAATCTGTGTTTGTGTGTCCGCTTGCCCCCCCGGACCGGCCCTTCCTCCATCCCTATGCCCGTGGGGCGCCTCAGGCTCGTGGCCGGCGCCGGAGCGGCGCGGAGGGCGGAGGGGAGCGGTGCCGGTGCCCCGAGCCGCCGCACTACGAGTCCCGGCATGCCGCGGGCCGCGCCGCCGCCGGAGCCGGAAGGGGCGCGCGCCGCCGCTTCCGCCCGCGGGCTGCGCGGGGCGGCGGGCGGGGCCGGCGGGACTGCGTGCTGCGGAGCGGTGAGCCTGTGCGGCACACTCGGGGCTTTTCTGGCGGGTACTCCTCTGCTTGCTTTGGCGGATTAGGGACTTTCTTTGTAGTGCTCAGTATCTCCTTCAGGTCTAAGCCGCAGGTTTGATGTTTCCGCGTCTTGCTGGCACACGCGTTTCCCGGGCGCTGCCTCAGGGATGGGACTGTTCCCGTTTAAACCGGAGCGGTCCTCGCAGTGGGGTGGGAACGGGCTGACCCCTGTCCTTGGACCGAGATCCGCCGCGTTCCACGCACCCTTTTTGTTAATGAGCTTCTGAGGGCAAGTTATAAGCAGCTCTGTAGGTGTTGGTGTTCCCCTAACTTCAGCAGCATTGGCACAGATAAAAAGAATGCTGAATTATTATGTGTTGTAATTGGAAAATGCACATTTCTGGTGATGTTTTGAAGCCCAAAATATGGAGTACTTTTAAAAGATTCTTGC